AAAGCACTTTTACACCCTTGTATATTGGTCTCTCAGGTCTTGGACCCCAGACTAGGGAAACAGGTTCCTGAGGTCAAAGATAGCGAGCGGCCACAGCCGAAACGTTGCCTGCGGGACCGTGCGTCTTCTGAGGCTCAGGACCTAACCATGCAGGTCACTCAGACCAAACATTGCCATACCCCAGGCCTGAGGGACCGCCCCGAAGACCCTCCAGAAAGCAGGCGCTGTGGTTCCTGAGCAAGGCGGTCCTCAGCTCCCAGAGAGCCACAGTGCATCCGCCTCAACCCGCAGTCCCAACCCCTCCTCAGCCTCCCCTCCGCCTCCATTCCAGCCTCCCCGCGCGCGCCCGCCGCCCCTCTTCTCGGGGCGGCCAACTCCGTCGGGCCCGTCCACGCGCGGCCTCACCCGGGCCGGCCAGTGCGGGTAGCCCTTCATCTTGGCGAACACCAAGTCCCCGGGCTTGAAGGAGTGCGGCATGCTGACTGCGGAGGCCCAGGCCGCGGGAAGCAGCAACGGCGGCTGGAAGACGAAGCCGGAGGCGGGAGTCGGACGCCTGAGGGGCGGAGGCGTCCGCACGGGTCGCCGGCCGGCGCCTACTTATTGGGTTCAGTGTGGCCGGAAGTCCCACCCTTCCTCCGCCATGGGCCGCCGATGCTGTCGCTCATTCCCACAGAGAAGCGCGGGGACCAATAAAGGGAGGGGTTGGAACAGAGTTAGCTAACGGGATTGGATAACGGAGCAGAAGCTGAGGGCGTGGCCTAAGGACCAGTGGGCGGGGTGGAGGCTACCGGATCAGAGGCCTAAGGGGCTACAGGGCGGAGCCTAACGAGGAATGATGAGGCGGGGCTTAGGGGGGGACGCGTTCAGCGTGTGGGGCGGGGCTTAGGGGATTATATGAATTAGGCGGTGGCGGGGCTTCGATGGGAGCGGGGGCGGGGCCTCCGGGTCACTGGGCGGGCTGGAGGTTGAAGACGGAAACCAGTATCCAGGAGATGGGGCGGGGCCTAGGAGGGCGGGACGTGCACAACCGTACTGGACAGGCCATTGGAGGCCACCAGATGAAATGTACGCAGTCAGCGTAGTAGATGGATTATTGACCTTCCAGAGTGAAGCCCATTGGCTACAGCTTGACCAATGGCTGACAAGAGAACAGGTTCAAAGGTGCGCAGCAAACTCCCGCCGATAGTTGGTGGGATAAGGGGCGGAGCGCGAGAGGGCGGGGCTGACAAAGGGGCGGGCAGATGCTAGCTTTATTTTTAAGTTGTATGTTTTTGTTTATAATACACAACATATTTCTATTTTATATTTATAGGACCTTTATACTTGTAACCTTTATAACTTTTTTGTTTTTGTTTTTTGAGACATAATTTCTCTGTGTAACAGCCCTTGTTCTGGAACTCACTTTGTAAACCAGGCTGGTTTCGAATTCACAGAGATCCACCTGCTTCTGCTTCCCAAGTGCTGGGATTAAAACCGTGTACCACCACTGCCCGATTTATTTTTATTTCTTAGATTAAAAAAAATCCTGCCGGGCGGTGGTGGCGCACGCCTGTAATCCCAGCACTCGGGAGGCAGAGGCAGGCGGATCTCTGTGAGTTCGAGACCAGCCTGGTCTACAGAGCTAGTTCCAGGACAGGATCCAAAACCACAGAGAAACCTTGTCTCGAAAAAACCAAAAAAAAAAAAAAATCCTGTGATATGTGTGGGCAAGCAAACACATGCCACAAAACATGTGTAGAAGTCCAAAGATAGCTGTGACGAGCCAGCAGCCTGTCCTGGAACTCGCTATATAGACCAGGCTGACCTCAAACTCATAGGGACCCACCTGCCTCTGCCTCCCGAGTGCTGGGATTAAAGGCCTGGGCCAACACCGCCTGGTTTCCATTTTCTTTTATACTGTACCTTTTCTTTTTTTAAAATATTTCTTGTGGTTTATTTAACTTTATTTTATGTGCATGGGTATGAAGGTGTCAGATCCCCTGGAACTGGATCTTCAGACAGGTGTGAGCTGCCATGTGGGTGCTGGGAATTGAACCCGGGTCTTCTGGAAGAGCAGTCAGAGCCATCTCTCCACCCACCTTTCTTTTTTATTTTTATTTTTTTTTAAATATTTATTTATTTTATTTATTTATTATGTATACAATCGTCTGTCTGTGTGTATGTCTGCAGGCCAGAAGAGGGAACCAGACCTCATTACAGATGGTTGTGAGCCACCATGTGGTTGCCGGGAATTGAACTCAGGACCTTTGGAAGAGCAGGCAATGCTCTTAACCACTGAGCCATCTCTCCAGCCCCTCCACCCACCTTTCTTAAATTAAAAAAATATCCTTTTATGTGTATGTATGTTCTGCTTGAATGTATGCACCTACATGTCTGGTGCCTGAGGAGGCCAGAAGAGGGAGCTGGATCCCCTGGAATTGGAGTCCCAGACAGTTGTGAGGTGCCGTGTGGGTGCTGGGAATTGAAATCAGGTCCTCTGGAAGAGCAGCTCTTAAGCACTGTGCCATCTCTCCAGTTCTTCATACTGTATTTTAGTTTTATTCATTGTCTATTTATTTCTTTATTAAGATTTATTTATTATATGTACAATGTTCTTCCTGCATGTCAGAAGAGGTCAGAAGAGGGCTCCAGATCTCATTATTTTTTTTTCAGCATTTTTTGTTTGTTTGTTTGTTTTTTCAAGACAGGGTTTCTCTGTGGCTTTGGAGCCTGTCCTGGAACTAGCTCTGTAGACCAGGCTGGTCTCGAACTCACAGAGATCCGCCTGCCTCTGCCTCCCGAGTGCTGGGATTAAAGGCGTGCGCCACCATCGCCCGGCCAGATCTCATTATTGATTGTTGTGAACCATCATGTGATTGCTGGGAATTGAATTCAGGACCTCTGGAAGAGCAGTCAGTGTCCTTAACCTCTGAGTCATTTCTCCAGCTCTCCATTGATTTTATTTTTTGATCGGATCTTATTTAGACCAGGCTAGTTTCTGAATAGCTATGTAGCTAAGGCTGACCTTGAACTGACTCTTCTGACTCTATCCCAAGTGCTTTTGCGGTGCTGGGGATGGAACCCAGGTGTCCTGCATGTTTGGTGAGTGCTCCACCCGCCGAACCCCATCCCAGTGCTTATTTTATTTACAACGCAGTAATTGAGCACCTACTATATGTCATGCCACGAACTATGCAATACCATAATGAACAAAAACCACATTGTGCCGAGTGTCTCAGTCTCTCCAGCTGTAAAAGAGGGTCTGCAATGTAACATGTCCCTGTTAGGAATATTTCCTAACGTGAGCTCTCTGCAGTCGCAAAAAATCCCATGGAGTTAGTGAGTGTTAGTGACTTCCCTATCCTGAACTGTTTGATCCTTGGGATTTCTGGAACTTCCACGACAGAATCCTCACACCATAAAAAACTGTTTCTGTCATACAGTGGTGGCACATGCCTTTAATTCCAGTACTCGGGAGGCAGAGAGAGGCAGATCTGTGTGAGTTCAACGCCAGCCTGGTCTACAAGAGTTAGTTCCAGGACAGCTGGAGTTGTTACACAGAGAAACCCTATCTCGAAAAACTAAATAAATAAATAAATAAAACAAAAAAGCTGTTTCTGTTTTTATTTATTTACTTATTTATGTATTTAGGTTCTTGTGAGGGCCAGCCATGATAATCTCAGTCTGGGCACAAAGGAAGTTCTTCCTCCAACCATTATCACCTGGGACTCTGGTCACCGATGAATTTAAATGGAGTCTAGAGTCTCAATAATTTACCCTGAGACAATGCCTGGCAGGCCGAGATTACCCGACCTCCTTGATTAAAATAAAGGCTCTTTGCTTTTACATATGGGACTTGGTCTCCTTTGTTGGCTTTTGTGGGGACCCACGGATTTGGGCATAACAGTTCTATGTACAATCTCAAAGGAAAACAGTCTAATAGCTGTGGGCTGTCTATGCTGCATGGACCTCTCAGGACCTAAAAAGTTGACAGAGAGCTGGGTCAGTTCTGCCTGACACTCCAGTGCTCAGGACTGCCCAGATTGTGTGAGACAGCGACCAGAGGATGGCTGTGGCTTTTTGCCAGCCAAGCGCCAGGTTTAGTGAGAGACCCTGTCTCCCAGGAATAAGCTGAAGGGTGAGGTCGCCCATCGTCCTCCTCTGGTCTCTGTACAGATAACATACATGCACACCCTCACATACCGCATGTGTGCATACACTGCACACACACACACACACACACACACACACACACTTGTCCTGTCAGGGTGACACAAAACCGTCACCTCAACCCTTGGGAGGCAGAGGCAGGAGGATCAGAGTTTCAAGGCCAGCCTAGGCTACATGAGGTCCTCTGCTGGAAGCAAAGACCTGTATTTTGAGACCTATATTTTGTTTATGCCATCTTAAGTTCACAAGTTAAGTAAAATATTTACCTCTATTACCTCTGCAGGGCAAGTTCTGGAGCTAGGAAATTAACCTAGTGAGACCTGCAGGCCCCAGGCTTTAGAAGCAATTAGCATTTCCTTTGTTAGTTAGGAATCACAGACTGTCAGTATGCCCAGAGCATCCATCTTTTTTGTTCAGTGTACCCACCACTGAACACTGGAAATGTTGCAGATTAAACTTAGGCTTTTACATATGCTGGGCAAGTGATGAGGTACCTACCTCCCCAGCAGAGTAGTCCAGGGCCAGCTCTGACTTTGCTTGCACCAATCCCTCTGTCAACTCCTTTTTTTCTGTCTTGTTCCTTCCAAAAGAGATTCCGTGCTCCCATCAGGCTTGTTTTCTCTTTAGCCCAGGCTGGCCTTGAAATCATCATATACAGCCTAATTTTTACAGGGGACACTTGGAGGCCGCGCGGTGGCTGCGAGTTCTCTAGCGCCCCCTGGCAGCACGCCGCGGTCCTGAGGGAGGCGGGTCCGTCGCCCTGGCAACGGCGTCGGCAGACAGGAAGGCGGCGCCTCGCACGCTAGGTGCGTGCGAGGCGATTATCACGTGCGCGGGCGGGACTTCCGGCGCCGTGATATTTTCTTTCCGGTGCTTGGCCGCCTGCTCCTCCCTACCCGGGCCCTGCGCCCCCGCCCCGCGGCCCTCGCCGCTGGGCCGCCGCCGCCATGAAGAAGTTCTTCCAGGAGATCAAGGCTGACATCAAATTCAAGAGCGCAGGGCCCGGCCAGAAGCTCACGGATTCCGCAGGGTGCGTGACGTCGGTTGGGCGGCGGGAACAACTTAGGCAAGGGACCGTGGGGAGCCGGCGGGGTGCCCGAGACCCCTCCAAGCGGTGCACAGGGGAGCCTATGGGTGGGCGAGGTTCGGAGATGGGCGTGGCCTAGGAGCGCCGGGGGCGTGGGCGTGGCCTGAGAGGGGGCGGGGCGTGGTGTAGTTGGGGTGGGCCGGGCTGGTGGGCAATGGGAGGTGGTCTGGGCCTGGAGACTCCTGGTCCTGGCTTGTGGGGAGGAGCGATGCGACGTCAGGGGTTTGGTGGAAGGATCCCCCTGGGGGCGAGGCCTAGGCGGGACAGAAGGGAGGTGACTGTGAGATATTGCCTCCTTTGTAGGGGGTGTGGAGTGTGGGAGGGCTTTAGTGTGCTACTCTGGGTGCTGTTGGGGAGGGAGAGGTTATTGGAGGGTCTTGGAGGAGTGTGGAGGTCAGAGAACTCCAGACTGTTGATGAGTAAGGTTGGGGTGCATGCACCTAGAAGGCCCTGGGAGGAAGGGGCGGGATGTCTTTGGGGACCCTGGCAACTGGGGTACTCGCAGAAGCATTGGAGGTTCTGGAGAGCTGTGCGTGCTGAAGAGGGAGGTGAGGCATGGGTGCATGGCAAGTGGGTAAGTGGGCTGCTGGAGCTGCCCAGAAGGGGTGGGGTTGAGGCTGGAGACAGCTCTAGGCTACCAGAAAGAAGTCTGTAGGGCTGTGCAGGGTGGTAGAGAAGGTGGGCCTTTGACAACCAGGGGCTAGTGGTCGGGAGGAGGAGGGGCCTTAGGCCAGGGCTAGAAGGGAGGTCCAGCTACAAATAGTGGGGCAGCTCCCATGATGGAGGTTGATGATAAGGGAGGGGATGGTGACTGGAGGCCCGGTGTCTGTGATTTATGCACCTCTTTGCAAGGTGGGAGTCCCAGTACGCTCTTTGGGTCCTCATGTCTGTCCAGAGAGAAGAATCCCAAAGAAAAGTCACCACAGCTGGGCCTCCGGCAGCCCCGCCAGGGCCCCACTGATGAGGCGCAGATGGCAGCCGCTGCTGCCCTGGCCCGGCTGGAACAGAAGCAGCCTCGGTCCCGTGGGCCCACATCTCAGGACTCCATCCGGAACCAGGGTGAGAATTAGAGGAGAGTGTGTTACCGGGAAGAGGTTCACAAAGGCAGCAGTGGGTGGTGGGTATGGCTCAGCCTCTGGGTTCAGGTTGGGGTTCTCACATTTGTCCCATTACAACTCCCACTCTCTCCAACTCCCAGTGAGAAAGGAACTTCAGGCCGAAGCCACCTCCAGCAACAGCCCAGGGGCTCCCGGAACCAACGTGGTATGGTATCTGTTGGGGATTATCTGGGGTAGTGTGGAGGCAGGTACTGCCTGGGGAGGAAGAACCTCTTGTAGAACCTGGCATGAGCAGCCCTTGTGGCCGCGGGGTGAAGGACCTTTGGAAGGAGGTGACTGCCATGGGTCTATATAGTCAGCTGCGAGAGCCCCCAATCCTGTCTGTCTTCAGGTACCTGAACCCAAAGAGGAAATCTCTCCCCACCTGGCAGTGCCTGGTGTGTATTTCATCTGCCCACTCACAGGCGTCACCTTAAAGAAGGACCAGCGAGATGCGCATATCAAGGAGGCTATCCTGTCGGTGAGTGGCCTGAACCCCTGGACACATAGTACCACAGGTGCCCATCAAGTCTGGTGTCTTAGTTGCTATTCTATCGCTGTGAAGAGACACAGTGGCCAAGGCCACTTTTAAAAAGGAAAGCATTTATTTATTATGTATACAATATTTTGTCTGTGTGTATGTCTGCAGGCCAGAAGAGGGCACCAGACATCATTACAGATGGTTGTGAGCCACCATGTGGTTGCTGGGAATTGAACTCAGGACCTTTGGAAGAGCAGGCAATGCTCTCAACCACTGAGCCATCTCTCCAGCGGGCAAAGGAAAGCATTTAACTGGGGCTGGCTTACAGTTCCAGAGGCTCAGTCTTTTCACAGTATGGCAGGGAGCGTGGCGGCAGGCATAGTGCTTGAGAAGTAGCTGAGCACTGCACGTCCTGATATGCAGGAAGAGACAGAGACAGGGCCTGCCGTGAGCTTTTTTGTTGTTGTTGTTTTCCAGAGTTTTATCTGTGTATTCTTGGAACTCACTCTGTAGACCAGGCTGGACTCCAACTCAGAGATCCACCTGCCTCTGCCTCCTGAGTGCTGGGATTGAAGGTGTGCACCACCAGCTCTGTAAAGGGCTTTTTATGCCTCCACACTCACCCCCAGTGACATACCTCTGCATCCTTCTAATCCTTTCAGATAGCACTGCTCCCTGGTGACTAAGCCTTCAAATATACGTGCCAGTGGTGGCCGTTCTTATTCTAAGTACTGCACCTGGCGAGTGCTCTGAGGGCCAATGATCTGACCCCATGTTTTTGCCCCATCCACACATGAGGCATAGAGTATAGAAGACTCAGAAAATAGAGGGAAGTCAGGTGTGGTGATACATTCCTGTTGTCCTATGACTCAGGAGACTGAGGCAGGAGGATTGTGAATTTTGGGTCACCCTGTGCAACACACACACACACATAAACACACATGCACAATAAGTAAATAAAAAATGAAAAAAAAAAAACCCTGGGAATAAGGGGACATCCACATACCTGCAACCAGCTTTGACAGTGTCTGGTAGGTTCAGTGTGCATCTCTGTCCTGAACTGTGGTGGCAGGAGTCCAGCAGACTTGCTGGGGTAAACTCAGGTTGGGAAGGCTCTAGATTTGCCTTCCCCAGCAACTAGAGGCTTCTCATCCTTGGCTTGTGGCTTTCTCTTCCTGGCAGCTGTCTGACTTCCCCCATTTGTGGGTCTCCTGATGATTGCTCATGATTAGCAACCCCAATACTGCCTTACCCCACAGCCCACCACAGTGTATTCCTGGGTTCCAACATCATACCGGCCTCTTGGATTTGCTGGTGTTAATGGCAGGCTCCTGTCCCTCTCTGCTACCTGACATCCACTGTAGCCACCATGGTCCTGGCTTCTCACAGTTACAGGTCCGGCATCTGGGAGTTACATGATTGGCAGCTATGGGAACTTCTACTAGGTACCATTATGGTTCACAAGACACAGCTGTATGGCCACAAGGGACATGTTGTCTCCTCTTCCTGCTTGGCTTTTTCATCATTGTAAAAGGCACAGTGGCCTCCACTGAAGGCATGCTCCTTGCCGTCTATCAAGCACTCACAGCTGGCCTCAGTTTACACTGCAGTGACCTGAGAACCAATGAACTGCAGTTGCTGCCCCTCTGCCCATTCCCCTGCATTGTGGGGCTCTCAGCATGTCCTCCCCTCCCCCAGCACTTCTCCACAGACCCTGTGGCTGCCTCTATCATGAAGATACATACATTTAACAGAGACCGGGACCGGGTGAAGCTGGGAGTGGATACCATTGCCAAGTGAGTCTCAGTTTTACCCACGGGGTCTGAGCATTGGGGGTGGTCCTCCCTGTGTGAGGCCCAGGGGTGGAAGGAGCGTGAGGTATGACTTGTGTATACCTCTGCCCCCCACAGGTACCTGGACAACATCCATTTGCATCCAGAGGAGGAAAGGTACCAGAAAATCAAACTACAGAACAAGGTGTTCCAGGTGTGCTACAGCCACAGGCTGTCCCGGGGTCACTGGGCATGGGGTTGGCATCTTACAGTTGGCAGTGTTGCTCGGTTGTCTGTGGTCATTTTACTTTTGTTGACATCAGATGTCAGTATGCAGTCCAACCTAACCTACTAGGGGAAATGTTCCTGCCTCAGCTTCCAAAGTGTTAGGATACAGGCATGCCACCATTTTTCTTCTCATACATGTATTTAATTTACATATGGGTGCATGAGTCATAGGACGAGTGTGGAGCAAAAAGAACTGTGGGAGCTGGCTCTGTCCTTCCACCACGTGTGTCCTGGGATGTAGGTTCTATGATTGAGAGTCCCTGGGGTTGGGGACCTGTCTCCCCGGAGCAGCCTCTCTCAACTGAATACTTGTCCTACAAATGCACATGTGAGGCTTATAGGTGCAGCCATCCCAGCTAGTGCCCATAGCAGTTTCTTTTCTTTTTTTTTTTTTTTGGCTTTTCGAGACAGGGTTTCTCTGTGGCTTTGGAGCCTGTCCTGGAACTAGCTCTTGTAGACCAGGCTGGTCTCGAACTCACAGAGATCCGCCTGCCTCTGCCTCCCGAGTGCTGGGATTAAAGGCGTGCGCCACCACCGCCCGGCCCATAGCAGTTTCTTAAATGCATCCATAAAGCCAAGAGCTACCCACCCTTCACCAGCTATGGGTCTTTAGCCTGGTGCCAATGGGAGCTGCTTGGTATCAATTACAGCGGTTCAGGCAGTCCCGGCCCTGCGGCCAGGTTGACATGAGTGCCTTGTCCCCAGGAGCGCATCAACTGCTTAGAGGGCACCCATGAATTCTTTGAAGCCATTGGCTTCAGGAAGGTGACACTGCCGGTTCCAGATCAGGGTGAGTGGGCAGCCAGGCAGGCGGGAGGGGGCAAGGGTGGTGCGCAGAACACGGGGACAGCTGTGACCCCTCTGCAGAGGGCTCCGAAGAGTTCTATGTGCTGGGTGAGGCCGCACGGGCGCAGCCGGAGAGCCTGGAGCAGCATAAGCGGCAGCTGCTGAATGCGGAGCCAGTGCGTGCTACGCTGGACCGGCAGCGCCGCGTCTTCCGTCCCTCGGCCCTGGCCTCACACTTCGAGCTCCCTGCCGACTTCTTTAGCCTCACTGCCGAGGAGGTAAAGCGCGAACAGAGGCTCAGGTAGGCCCATGTCAGGAGGGGAAGAAGGGGTGCAATTCCCGAGGTGGCAGCCTGACCATGCTTGACTCCACACAGAACCGAGGCTGTGGAGCGGCTGAGCTCGCTGAGGACCAAGGCCATGCGGGAGAAGGAGGAGCAGCGGGAGCTGCGCAAATACACCTATGCTCTACTGCGCGTGCGCCTGCCGGACGGCTGCCTGCTGCAGGGTGTGTGGCCTGGGACTGGCTCAGGGTGGGCCGGATGTTGGCAGTACTTTTTAGCTCATGCTCTGTATCCTACAGGCACCTTCTACGCCAGGGAGCGGCTGCCCGTGCTCTTCCAGTTTGTGCGCGAGGCACTGCAGAACGACTGGTTGCCTTTTGAGCTGCGGGCCTCAGGAGGGCAGAGGCTGGTGGAAGACCAAGCCCTGGCCCTGAATGAATGTGGGCTGGTGAGCTCTGGGGTGTACTTCACAGGTTTTAGCATTTTGGATCACTTTCCTACTGCCAGGGCCTCTCAGTGTGGGGGAGGGTACTTCTAAAGATCAGACTGCAGGGATCCTATGGAGAAAGTGGTATAGGGATGGATGGTCATACCCTGGGTGACATTTTGCCTGTGTGCAGGTACCGTCTGCCCTGCTGACCTTCTCCTGGGATGCTTCTGTGTTGGAAGACATGAGGGCTGCAGGAGCAGAACCAGCCACATCTGTCTTGAGGCCTGAGCTGCTTGCAGCCATGGAGCAGCTCTCCTGAATAAAAGCATCCTTGGCCTGGTGTGGCTGTCTCATGCCCATGTTCCCAAACCCATTTCTTTCTGAGCCCCTGGCAATAGAAGAGACACTAGTTGGGAACAGGGTCCCGCCTCAAGAGTTCAATCCTCTGGGCTGCACGGACAGGCTCACATCTGCCCGAGGAGTGTGGAGCCCCTGGGAGCCCCGCACAGTGGGACGGGCACCTCTGTGGCAGAGTGAGCTTATAGCATGGTTACAGGCTGTGGATGGAGGCAACGGTAAGGGGCAGGTGCCTGGCAGCATGGAGTTATAATTCCTAAGTAATGAGTCCAAATAAACATACTATTTAAACCCAGCCTCCCTGTGCTTCATCAAAGCCACACAAGGCAGTACCGTGGCAGTGGAAAACCCTGTAGCCACCCAGGTCCAGGCTAAGCAGCCTCTCGAGGCACTGGTGGAACAGGTCAGCAACAGCACTTCCCTTGGAGATGACACTAGGGCATTCTGGGCCTAGGGGCTCCTTTTTGAGGGAGACATCCACCTTTGCAGGCGACAGGTAGGACACACACCAGTGCACATGATAGTTGTGACAGAAGACAGACAGGCTCAGGTAGAGTGTGTTTATACATGTCCACGTTTGCTCAGGGCCTGCAGAGCAGCTTCAGCGACCCTGGCACAATTCATTAGCAAGTGTTTGACCACAGCAGGCACCTGTCAATCAGCTGTCAATAATGCTTAACTAAGACGGGTAGATCGGCACAAAGCCCTGGGGGCTTTACAGTTTAGAATAACTGCTCTGGCCTCCTCTAGACTCCACACCCTGGGGTGTGGGACAAAGTGCTCTTTACATGGGAGTCGGCAGGAAGCTCGAGTCCGGTGGCAGCTGCTCAGGTGCCCATCCCCACTTCCCTCAGTAGCTCTATAAGGCCGAGGGAAGTGTGGCCACCACTGCCCAGGTCATGGCTTACACTCCACTCCCTGCAGCACAGGTTGCTTTTATCCAGGAGTCCCTGGGTCTTTGAACTTGACACCCATCATTTGCAAAGCGTGGGCGCAGGCACAGGAGCCTCTGACACGTCACCCGCAACACCTGGCACATCCACGATCATACAGTCTGTGTCGTCCTCCTCATCCTCTTCTGTGTCTGCCTGGAAGCCATCCATGTCCCCAGAGCCAACCTGCACAGAATACAGCCAGTCAGCGTCTTGACCCACGCACTCCCAACACATAGTTTTGGACAATTCTCAGTGACAGTGTCCACACGGGTCAATGGCTACAATCCCTGTGCTAAGATGAGCTACACGCCCATCTAAAAACTGCCAACAGCAGCACCCCACCACAACCTGAGTGGCTTCTTTTCAAGACAGGGCTTTTCTGTGTATCTTTGGTTATCCTGGAACTCACTGTGTAGACCAAGTCTGGCCTGCTTCTGCCTCTGCTTCCCGAGTGCTGGAATTAAAGGTGTGTGCCATCCACACCTGGACCGAGTGGCTTCTCAACTTTGGTTTCAAAGAACCAACCAAGCACCCACTTTCTTGGCATTTCTTTTTTTTTTTTTTTTTGGGGGATTTTCAAGACAGGGTTTTGGAGCCTGTCCTGGAACTAGCTCTGTAGACCAGGCTGGTCTCGAACTCACAGAGATCCGCCTGCCTCTGCCTCCCGAGTGCTGGGATTAAAGGCGTGCGCCACCATCGCCCGGCTTGGCATTTCTTTTTACGGGTGCCTAGAGTTGGTGGCTCCTGAAGATGTGAGGATCCCAGATAGATGTAGCCTGAGGTAACCCCACATGATGAGGAAATAGCTAACTGGCCTTTGACCCAGGGAAGGCAGCTGCTTCTCCACAAGTCTGAATGCCTCTTATATTTGCCTACATCCATGCATGGTGGCTTCAGAAGCTGAGGAAGGAGGATCAAGAGTTGAAGGCAGCCTGGGTTGTTTTATGGTTAAGAGCCCTGGCTGCTCCATCAAGAGACCAGAATTGGTTCCCAGCACCCATTATGGCTGCTCACACATGCTTTTTTAACCCCAGCTGCTGAGAGATTCCATGGGTACCATGCTTACATGTGCACACACCCATAAAACATGAAAAACCCTTATAACAGGGAAAACCAAGTCTTAAAAGACTGAAGCATGCTGGGCTAGTGATGCAGTGTGGTCTGGTGTGACCACAGCTCCAGCTCAAGTTTAAACTACACTGCACTCTAGATGAATACAGAACATTCAAGAGCATAGCTGGCCCTTCCCGAGGGGGGTGGGGCACAGACACCTGGGAAGGCTGTACCTAGCCCCTGCTCCTCATAGCAGTTCTAGAAGAGTCTGATGGAACACCGAGCTGCAGGGCTGCTAAGGAACACACCCAGGCAGTCTAGGGTGCTGTGTGAGCACCATCTAGGCCTGTGTCTTCTGGAGGCAGCACCTCCAGCCATGAAATCCAAAAACCTACCGCTGTGGGCACATGGGGTTCCTCAGGGCTAAGGCTGACAGCAAAGTGTGCCTTTGAGCCTCGCTCCCTGCTCATGTAAGGTAAAGCAAAGATCATTAGGAGGGGGACAGGAAAAGCAGCAGAGTAGTTTGACTCGCTGGAACACAATGCTCTAGGCACATCCCCATGACACTAAACCACATCTCAGGTTGAGGGGACCTGTGCCATCAATGACAGTGACATTAGGGGCCACAGGGGAATAATCCCATCAATGACTGCAGACGCAATGTTCTCAGGGCTCCCTGCTGTGGTCTGGGGCAGAGCCATGGATACCAAGCCCTGTGTCTATCCACAGTGGGGTCAGAAGAGAATCTGAAATGCCAACACGTAGTAAGTGAGCTGGACTTCCAGTGACAGAGAGGACATCTCAAAGAAAAAATATGCTGACACTGCCTCAGAGGGCAGGGCTGCACGGGGCTCTGATGCTGCCACACACTTGTGCCCACGCAGAACAGTAGACAGTGCTTCGGCTGTTCATGTGCACAAAGTACCGTTTGGAGTTAGAAGGGGCTATCAAGCAAGGATGAACTAAGCAGTAGAAGGCTGAGGGATTACTTGCAGTGTGACCCTGATTATGACATTCAGGGACATGAACAAACACATGGTTGCTAGTGTAGGAGGGGGCAGGTGGGGCATAGGCTTTTGGGGAAGGAAGCAACTCCAGGTAACTGTGATGGCAGTCACAAAAGCTGGGTCACTAAGAACCAGCTCCTTAGCCAACAGTGGCCTCTGGGTGACATCAGCATGAGGAGTTGAGAAACAGCTGTGCATACAGACACACCCATTTTGCTACTGCGACCGTAACTGTTGTAGCAAGGCAGTGAGACGGCCCAGTGGGTAAAGGCGATTGCTGCACAAACCTGGCAACTTGAGTTCCACCCCAAAATCCTATGTGATGAAGGGAGGGAACCAGTGCCACAACGTGGTCTTCTAACCTGGCACAAACTGTGTGCAGGTGCAGTCTGCTACAGGCACAGGTGAGCAAGGCCATGCCCTCTGCAGCTCACCTGTCCATCATACCGCCTTTTCTTCATGAACTGCGTGATGCACATGGTGGCTGCTGGCTTCCGCTTGATTGGCATGGGTGTGCCCTGGTCAGGCCCCTCGGAAGTGTTGCCAGTGTCTTCTCTAGGTGTTGAGGGCATGGCGGTGACGTAGGTCCACTGGCAGGGCACAGGCAGGCACTCCTGGCCGAAGCTCCTGAGCACCTGTGGGTGCACATACCAGCACATACGGAAGTCAGGCCGCTTCTCGTAGGCCGAGTTCTCAGAGATGAGGCGCTTCAGCCTGGCCTTGGATGGCACGACCACAGCATCCTCCGAGTTGGGTACATGTGGGTGTGGAGTGGGGCTTGGGGGGCTCAGCAGGCCGCGGCGGCATCGCTCTTGGAATTCGCGGATGATGACCTTGCTCCCATTCACATTGCCATGCAGCAGTGGAAGCAGCTGGGCCAGGACTGTGGGATGAGACAGGGGTAGAGAATAAGCACCGAGAGCCCCATCCAAGGCATGCTTCAAAGAAAGCCACGCCACACGCCTGCTCCCTAGAGGCACTGAGCAATGCCATGTGCTCAGCTTGTGTGCCCTCACATTCCTCCTGAGAAGCTACTGCTCTCTGCGTCATCAGTATCCTGGGGTTTAGCATAGAGGGAGTGGCACAGCACTCTGGTCCAGGTCTCAATTCTGCTGTGGGCTCTACTTTTATAATCACCAAGGAGCTAGGCAGGCCTGGGCTGCAAATCCAAACTCTCAGGGGGCAGAAGCAAGAACACTGTAAGCCACTTGATAACTTCATAACCTGTCTGGGTTACAGGACTGGGGTGTGGCTCAGTGGTGAGCACTTGGTAGGCACATGAGAATCCTGGGTTTGGTACCTAGAAGCAAAACTTAAAAAGGGCAACGAGCTGCTACATAGATGAGAAGGCCCTGCTGTACATGCAGACAACCTATCAGTCTGCTGATGTGTGGATGTGTGACCTCCACAAGGACACTCTGACAAGCACCGTGGCCCGATGTACTGGCACCCTACTTACTATGCTGGTCCCTCTTCTCCCGCCTGGAGGCCTTTGGCTCTGGCTCTTCAGGGGGTGCTGCATCCAGCAGGCATGCGGTGAACTGCTGCAGCAGCTTCAAGTCAGAGCCTGCGCAGTTGGCTGCCTCAGCTGCCCACACACATCCCACTTGTACAGGCTGCAGTACGCGGAAACGCTTGCCCTTGGCTAGGAGCTCATCCCACTCCTTGGCCTTCAGCTTCTGGCGCACTTTGTGGTTCTCGGGGTCTGCACACTCCTAGCAGGACAAGGAGCAGACCTTGTTTAATGTTCATGCTCTCTGGTGACCCAGCACTGGCACTGAGCTTTTGAGAGCAACACCAGAGGGGTCAGTTCACACCCTGAGCTGTATGATGAGTCAGGATATTCCAGTGGCTTTGCTTGTCTAGCCTCACGGCTTCTATGATGTGGTAAACAGGTGACCAAATCACCACGAGAAGGCACAGCCAGTCTGACCCCAGGCACCCTGTTCAGGCTTACTAAAACTACAACCTGGAGTTCAGGGCCTAAGGACACCACTCAAACTCAACATGGCCTCTTATGGGAGAGCGTGCAGGGGCATAGGGACCTTCTGGAGTTGTGGGGCAATCTGTGCTTTCTTTGGGGAGTTAGAACTCTAGGTGAAGGTGGGAATTATAGGCTGGGCTGCATGTCAATCACTCTGCAGCAGAGAAAGTTCTATGCCTGCTCACTATAGCCCAAGCCACAGCAGCTGATCACCCCAATATACCACAACCAGCCTGGGCAGGAGCCCTCACCTCAGTCACGCCTTCATCCTCAGACAGGTACCCATGGGGCACAAAGAAGCCGTCGTCCTCAT